TTACAGAGCAATGAGTTCATATTAGCGAGATTCCTCATAACTCGTTTCTTGACTAAGGAAGTCTCTTTCGCAGGTGACCAGCTCTACACAACCTGGCAGAGAAGGGGAGCCTGGACTCCCTCCCCCCACTGCACCATGCAAGATTCGGTACATGATAAATCGTTGTGAGTCGCTGGTAAAAGAGGGCGGAGGGAGGTAGGGCGGAGGGAGTGATACCGGGAGCGGAGGGTCCGGGGGGAGACAAAGAGCCTTCAGGGGGGGCGGCGGCGGCGGCGGCGGCAGCGGAGAGAGCGCGAGGAAGGAGGGAGGGACGGCAGGAAGGGGCGGCCGGAGGCCGGCAGGGTGCTGGACCGGGTGCTGGCTGCGCGGCGCGGCGCTGGGCTCCGACGGCCTCTCCATGCGCTGAGGGCGCCCGGCGGGGCCGGGCCGGCGGCCGGAGGGGAGGCTCCTCTCCATGGTCCAGAAGACCAGCATGTCCCGGGGCCCCTACCCACCGTCCCAGGAGATCCCCATGGAGGTCTTCGACCCCAGCCCGCAGGTGAGGCGAAGCGGCCAGGCCGAGAGGAGGGGGCCGCCCCCGCGGACCTTGCTGGGGTGGGCTCGAGGGGCGCGGGAGAGGACGCGGTTCTGTGCTCGGCGGTGGGAGGGGGGTGGCTGCGCGCCCCGCATCCCCGCGGATCGGTGATCTGTGGGCGCTTGGCCCGGAGTTGGGCTGCGATGCTGCGGAGCGGGGAGGCGGCGGGTGGGCTGCCTGTCACCCTCGCCTCTTCGGCTTCCCGGCGTCAGGGTCCTGCCGCTTGGGCACTGGCTCCAGTGGGCTGAGGGTGGGGGTGCTGGCGAGGGGGATCCGGGCCTCGAGAAGGGAAGGTAGAGGGAGGCTAGAAAGCGAGCCACGCAAAGGGGGCGACGCAGAGCACGCTCGGGGGCCCGGGCGGGGTGGGTTGGGCGGGGGTGGCCCTGGGAGATGGCCGAGGCGACGGTCAGAGGGCGGTGCCAACAGGCCTTCAAAGCCGCAGACACTGGCTCTGAGCGTGGGGAAAGGGCCAGCCCCCCTCCCAGCACCCCCCGAGCTCCACCCCTGTTTTG